CGGAGCTGCCCCTCGGGAGGAGCTGCAGCCCCGCGTGAGGTCTGACCTCAGTATCGCCTTCTCTAGGCTGAATCAAACCAGTACCCTCAGCCGCCTCCCCCTTGGCCCCTCCGGACCGTCCCCATGCCCGTGTCCATCCTGTGGACGCTGTGCCGGGCTCCCCGGCGCACGAAAGGCCCACAGCGCACCGCTGCCCTGCCCTGCCGGTGCCCGCAGGTGCGGCCCGTACCAACGGCGGGGGAAACCGACACGGAGAACGCCCGCACTGCGCATGCTCGGCTCGGCTCAGCCGGCCAGGGCTATTGGCCAAGGAGTGTGACAGCGCCGCGGAACAAAGCGATCGGTGCCGGTACCGGGTGACCGGCAGGGCCGGCAGCCATCCCAGTGCGCATAGGCACGTGCCTCCGCCCCCAGGGTGGTGAGCGCATCAGCCAATCGCATAAAGAGGAAGCTGATTGGCAGGGCGCTGCGCCTATCAAACAGGGTTACGTCACGGCCGGGTGCAATTAAACCAATAATCCATGCGGGAACTTCGGCCCCGCCCACTGGGCTTGCGCGGACCCCACCTATGAGCGGCCGTCCTTCCTGACGGGCGTGCGCCTTGTCCTATCAAGCGGGAGCCGCCAGGCCACGCCCCCGAGGCGGGCACTGGGCGGGGCCCGGCGGCGGGCGCGGCCCGGGCGGGGTCGGAGCGATGGCGGAGAGCGACTGGGACACGGTCACGGTGCTGCGCAAGAAGGGCCCGAGCGCCGCTCAGGCCAAGTCCAAGCAGGTCAACGGGGACAGTGGTGGGGGCCGGGAGCGGGGCCGGGCAGGCCGCGAGCCTGGGCTTAGCGTATTGAGGCCACCGCTCCGACTAGCGCCGCGCTCACCGCGCACCTTCGCTCTTTCCCCAGGCGATCTTGGCGGCCCAGCGGCGCGGGGAGGACGTGGAGACTTCCAAGAAGTGTGGGTATCCCGCGGGGGGGGTCCGGTCCGGTTTATGGGATGATAAGATGGGGACCGGGGGCAGCACCGGCCGGCTGAGCTGACGATCCCGAGCTGGGCCGGAACGCGCAGCCCTGGGAACCGCCGGGATGACGCCCCTGGAGCTGCCCCTTCGCTTCTGGCTGCCCAGGGCAGAGCTCTGCCTGCTTTCTGCAGAGATCTTGGAAGAGCTTTTATGATCACAAAACTTAAGCTCCCCGTTTTGGCAGCTTATTTCTCTTGAGAATTTGAATGGCTGCCGATCTTCTATGGCGCTGCTCTTAAAAAATTCCTTGTTTCCTCTCTGATTTAAATTGCCGGGTTCTCTCACTGTAGGGAGGCGATTCTGATGATTAGAAATAAATAGATGATCCTTGAAGAAGATTAATCAGCTTTATTGGGACATCGAATGCTAGAGACTAATGTGAGAGAAAGGATTCAAACTAGGGCTTAAATACTGTAATACTGAGAGAAAACAATGTGGTTTTGAAGCTCAGTCTTTCAGCAAAGCTAAGTACAGCTAGACTGTACTTATGGAAGGTTTTAGAAAATTGTTTAAAAGCCAGTTACTTGTGCTGCCTCATCCCTGAGCAAGCACGATTCAGGTTCAAATACTGACCCCTCTGTACTGCAGCACAAACATGTCTGCAGCAAAGTTTGAGCATTAAGACTTGCCCTGTCTGGAGTGAAGTTCGGGTGTGGGGTAGGGAAAGGGAAGGGCTTTGCATGGCTGGGTGTGCACAGCACTATGAACAGGCCTAAGGTTATGTTCCCTGATGGGCAGGATTTGGGTGAGATCAATGTTGATGTTGGTATGTTGAAATCCTGACAGCTCCCTGGGATCCTGGGCAGCTGAGGGCTTGGAAAAAGTCCTTTGATACTTTTTGGCACAGCTCTGAGCCTTATTTTGTTTGTCCTTGGTTTTTTTTTTTTTTGTTCTTGCTTCAAATGACAGGGGCAGCAGGCCAGAACAAACAACACTTCATTACAAAGAACACAGCCAAGCTTGACCGTGAAACAGAGGAGCTGCACCATGACAGAGTTTCCCTGGAGGTGGGCAAAGTGATCCAGCAGGGCCGGCAGAGCAAGGGCCTCACGCAGAAGGACCTGGCCACGGTGAGTGGAGCACCTGCAGGTGAGGGTGGGCACCTTTCCTGTTCCCTGGTGGGCAGCTGCAGTGGGACAGTGTCATGGGCTGGAAGTTTGGGGAATGCAGCATCTCTGGTGTCTGATGTCTTGGCAGCTTCAGTTGTCTGGGGAAACTTCTGAGGTTTGTCCGTGCAGCCCTTGAGCCCCAGGTTGGAGGCAGAGCTTGTCTGTGGCTGCTGAGCTGGTGGGAGGCTGCTCCCCACTTCTCCCAGCAGCTCACACCAAGCCAAGAGGTTTGTACCATCTGGGCTTTCAGTGTTAGCAACTCCCTGCTGTATGAAGGAACAGCAATCCCTGGTGTGCCTACTCCTCCTGAAAAGGAGGGAGGTCACCAGCACTGGGACACTGCAGGGAGATGGTGGTGGAGTCAGCCTAGGAGCAACACTTTGTTATCTGTCCTGGCATAATGAGGGGCCATTCCTTATCTGTGTGAGTCCTGAGGGGCTGCTGCTGAGCCTTGGTGTGTTTAAGACTCATCCTCTCTTTTTAGAAAATCAATGAAAAACCACAAGTTATCGCTGACTACGAATCAGGACGAGCGATCCCCAATAACCAGGTCATGGGCAAGATCGAAAGAGCCATCGGTGAGTTAAGGGAGACTTCAGAAATACTGCCAGTGTTTGGAAGGGTAGTTTGGGGGAAGGTATTTGCCTTTTTCCTGTGAGGAACATTGCTGGCTGGAGTTTATCATGGGTGTGGTGCCATTAAGTCATGTTCTGATAAAACCTGGATCTGCTGACTGAACCAGAACTGGGAGCTCTTCATCTTTGTCGGCACCTTCATGCCTGTGGCTGTGCCCTGGGGACCATCCCTGTGTACTTGCCCCCAAAAGCTGTGAGATGCTGAGACCCATGGAAGCCTGATTGCACTTGTGGAAGGATTTAGTGTTGGTTTTACTCTCCTGGGCTGGTTCAGATCCCATCTGATCAGTTTGAAGTTGGTCTAGAAACTAAAGTAGGATTTTCTTGAACTCTTGTTTCCCTGCTCTCTTTCTGGATGTTTTCTTCCTTAAGGCTGAATTTGGTGGAAATATAAGTTATTGGTGAATGATTGAGTGCTGATGGTGGTGGTCTCCTTTGTCTTATTCCAGGCCTCAAACTGCGTGGAAAGGACATTGGAAAACCATTGGAGACTGGCCCCAAAGGGAAATGACAACAAAGCCTCGAAATCAGTTTGCTCAGACTGATCTGGTTCTCCTCAACCACTCTGCATATTGCCAAGCTGAACAAGAGGGTTTTAGACTTGCTTTGGGGGGAAATCTGCTGAATCTGTATCTGCTGTAAAAAGGCAACCTTAAAGAAGCAATTTTCCTGATATTTGTTTTACCTTGCTCCTTTTCAGAGATTGAGGATCTAAACCCCAAGAAAAAACCCAAACCCTGCCTCTGATTTGCCAGAAAACATGTGCGTTGTGGTGTTAGCAACATCTGATGTTAAGGCACTTAGGGTGGTGTGAAATGTGATGATTTAATGAAACAATTTGGGGGATGGGTGAGATATATTATATATAAATAATCTGGGAGAGTTGGGGCTTGATCAGAAATGATGACTCAGTCACTGTATCTCAATGAGTTGGTTTGTTCTTTCCAGCCTGTTTTAAGGAGATCTGTAATAAAGTTTGATACCCTTCAGTTGCCCAGAGGAGCTGCTGCATGTGACCAGCTGGTAGTAAATGTTGTGGCTGGGTGGGACTGGAACTGCACCACCTCTTCCTTCTGGGATTGTAATTAAAGGGACAGCTGGGGTGCCTGGGCTGAGGGCCAGCACTGTCACAGCCTTCCTGGCTGTGTCACCTCTCCCTGTGTCGGGGATGGTTCAGCTTGGCCAGCAGCCAGGGGATGGAACCAGTGCTGTGGAGGTGAGGGGAGGCTGTGGGGAGCTGGAGAGCCAGGTGGGTGCAGAGACATCAGGTGAAGCCTGAGCCTTCCTTGCCCTTCCCCAGCTCTCAGCTCTATTGGGCCCTCATTTCTGCAAGCAGGACAGGGCTGTGGGGATGGTGCTTGGCCTGACTGAGGCATCACCGAAGGGGGACCCAGCTGGGTGAGGGAGACAAGCTCTGGTCACAGTCTGGGAAAGTAGGATGTCCCTGCAGCTGGATGTGGGGGCTGGGGGTAGCAGGATACTGGTGGGCTCCTCATGCAGGGGCTGAACTGGTCTGTGTGTGGGGCTGGGTTTGGAGTTCACAGCATTCAGGTGTGAAAGCTGGGGGTGAGAGCGGGGTCCTGGGCTCGGATGTGGTGGGTGCAGGGTTGGGGTCCAGGCCCTGAGCCCAGCCTGCGCCTCAGGAACATTTTTGGGTTTCCAGTGACATTTATAAAGTGCATTCACAAAGTGTGTGGGCAGCAGGTGTGCACCAGATTTGGGAGCTGCCTGTTGCCCTCAGGGGTGCTGTGTGGTGCCCCCTTCTGCTCCCTGCTCTCCCACCCACCACTCACCCTCCCCAAAACCAGCAGAGGCACTGAGCTTCTTTCCCTGTGGGGTCTCTGTGCCCTAGGAGCTCTTGTTCTTTGTCCTGGGCATGGGAAGTGGCTCACACCCTCTGCAGCATGCACTGCTCTTCCCAGCTCTGGGGGCCAGCACCCCACACTTCACCCCCACTTCCGCAGGCCAGACCCCTGTTTGGATGAGGACAGCCACTGTGAGAACTCCCACTCCTGCCCCCTTGCCAAAGCACGGGCACATTGCTGTGTCTTGGAAGCAGAAAGTTCATGTTGCAAACAACAAAAACGCTTTTCCCGAGCACTTGGAGGTAGTGATGCCAGGGGTGTGTCCCTGTGTGGGGCAGGCTCCCTGGGTCACCCGCTCCCCGGTGCCGGGGGCAGAGAGCAGGCAACTGATGGAGCGTGGGTTCCTGTCGAGGGGTGGTCTGCCCGGGGGAGCAGGCAATTCCTGCTGCTGGCTGCTAATTTCAAGACTCATCCTCCTCCCTTGGAGATATAATAACCTTGTCCTGAAAAGAAAGGTGAGTGCTGACAAATGTGGGCTGTCTGCTGTGAAACACCAGGATTTCTTCCAGGCTGCAGTGAGGACAATCTGTGTGCCAGCCTCCTGTGACCCTGGCGGAGGCACCAAACCCCCAGTGCACCCAAGGGGCTCCATGATTGTTGTTGGAGTCCATGCTGGGGCTGGTGGCTCTGCTGCAGATCTCATGGCACCAGATCTGTCCAAGGACCCTGCAGCTTAAGCAACCTTGCACTAATTTGAGTGCTGGCTGAGTGAGGATGAGCTGGGTTTGCCAGACCCCCTTCCCACAAGACTCTGGGGTGGGAGCACACTCAGCTCTTTTGGGAGCAGCTGCCTGGTGGCAGCAGCACTTTTAGGTCAGTCCTACAGCTCGGGTCACTTGTTTGTCAACAAGCAGATAAGAGGCAGAGCCCTTTGCACCTCCCTGTCGCGTTGGCGGAATGTGGGATCAGGGAGAATCTGCTGGCATTTGCTGAGCTTTTAGGAAAATGCTGTTTTGGCACAGCTGGGGTAACCAGGGCAGTCCTTCACCCTGTCCTTACATCTCGGAAGGTGATGTTGTCGAAGCCCTGGGGCCTGGTGCTCTCTGTCGGTGTCTTGCTCGCCAGCTCTCGCTGTTTCAGCCAGTACCAGCCCCCAAGAGCCACAAGCGCCACGATGACGAGGGCTAGGAGCAGACTGAGCACCACCTCTGTCACAAAACTGCCGGGGGGTTTCTCTGCAGGGGGAGGAAATGCTGTCAGGCTTGACCCACTGCCCAGACAGCTGCCTCCAGCCTCAGCCCAGCACGCTGGGCAGCTCTGGGTTGCCCTGTCAGAGCCAGAACTGCCCCCCCACCCCTGCACCTTCCACTGGACTCTCTGGGCTGGAATGGCAGCCCACCCTGGCGCTGTACACGATGTCATCCAGTGCCACTGTCCCCTCCATCGGCCACCTCCATGTGGTGATCTCAAAGCTGATCTGTGGAGGAAGGTGGGATCTGGGGGGCTGATGCACCCCCGGAGACACCCTGCACCCCAGGGTGGCCCCACTTACCTGGAACTCACTGGGGCTCTGCACCGGCACCACGGCACCCTGCCAGCCCCGGCTGCGGTGCCCTGCCACGCTCCACACCGTGCGCTGCCCCGCGGCGCCCTGCAGTGTCACCCGCAGCTCCCCACTGCCTGCAAGGAGGGGACACAGGCGTCTTGGGGTCACAGCTGCCCCGAGCCCACAAGAGCCACCCTCTACAGGGATGGCAGCAGCCAGAGGGAATGGGCCATCGCCACTGCCCAGCTAGAGCTGAAGCAGAGTGTCCGTGGTCTACAGGTGGGGACGACTGAGGCCCCCACTCCCATATGTGAGACCCAGGGACAGCACCTCCTCCCCGCCCCTGCAGTGCTCACAAAGGTGCTCTGGGATGTCCATGTGGTACCAGAAGCGCAGGCAGGAATCGGTGGCCACGGGCAAAGGTGGGCTCTCCAGCAGGGCACTGGTGCCCCCAGCACCCAGCACGCTGGTGTCGAAGTGCATGTAGTGACCTGGGTGGGCAGCGACAGAGTGCAGGGTGTCACTCAGTTCTGCACCCATTTGTCCCACCCTGCTTGTCCCACTCTTCCCCAAAATGCCCAGAGTGATGCCCGGAGAATGGCACAAACCAGCCCTGCACCTCACTGCCCTTGGGGCTGAGCTGCCCCTCCCAGGCGAAAAGGGGACAGGGATGCTGTGGAGCCAGGCCTCACAGGGTGTATTGGACTGACTCCATCCATCCCCAGCTCCTCTTCCTCACTCTGGCCATGCCAGGGTGCTGAGGCAGGGATGGATGTTTCCTACCATTCCTTGTGCCCAGGGTGTGATCCTGCTCAGGGCCGGGGTACTTGGCCAGGGTGATCCCATTCTTCCAGCCCCAGGCAAAGCTGTGCAAGCGGGGGTTGGAGGGGCTGCTCCAGCCACAAGTGTCCTGCTCGAAGTCACAGGATGCTGAGAGGAAAGCAGGGCTGTGAGACACCCAGTGCTACCTGGCTGGAGATGGGGCACCTGGGTGGTACACACTTGCCCCAGCTTTGGGCCAGGCCAGGCGCAGGGCTGTCCCCATCCCCGTGGCTTACATGCCCCCACAGGATGTCCCATCCTCCCCCTCTGATCCACAGTGCCCCTGTGGGGGGGGGTCTCACCTAGTTCAGGGCAGGCTCCATCCGACACATGCAGGTCGTCCAGTGCAATGTATCCATGGTCACCCCCAGCTCCCACTGCCTCAAACACCACCTGGGCAGGGTGACATGCTGAGGCTGGCAGCCTCCAAACACCCCTCATCACCTCACGGTGCCCCCAGCACCCTGCCTTGTCTCACCTGCCAGTCGCCATCGGGCTGGACAGTGATGTGGCCGCGGTGCCAGTTGTCCCCTTCCATGGTGCTAATGCTCAGAACCTTCCTCCTCGCCCTGCTCTGCTCCACATACACCCCGAGGGAGCCTGCCCAGGGCACCCAACATGGAGGAGGGGTCCAGGGCTGTGCCACATGGGGCTCCCACCCTCCTGGAGGTGCCCCCAGGGGTCTCAAGGCAGGTGGTGCTCACCTGGGGTCCCAGTGCTCAGCTGGTACCAGAAGGCCAGGCACTGGGCAGACAAGGAGGGCTGGTAGGGCTGGGAGGTGAGGGTAGCCACGTGCCCTGCAGGCAGGAAGATCCTGCCCATGTTCACCACCATGTAATGGCCTGGAGGAGAGATGCCTCTGTGCTGTGACCCCTGCCCAGCCCTGCTGGGGAGCACCAGGGGACAACTGGGGCTGGGTTTTCCCCCCAGGTCAAGGAGTCTCCCCAGATTGGGAATCTTCCCAGGATTAGGGAGCCCTGGGGCTGGGAGACCGCATTTGGGGAGCTCCAGGGTTGGGAAGCCATGTGCAGTATTGCCTTCTGCTCATCCTAGGGAGGTCAGGGCAGGCATGACACGGGGAGAGCAGGCAGGGCTGGTGTGGGGTGCAGGCAGGACACTCAGAGCAGGCAGGGGGGGACACTCAGTGCAGCAGGGGAGCAACAGAGCTGCCACAGCCCCATACCTGTGGCAGTGCCGGTGGTGTGGTCAGCCACAGGGCCAGCGGTGGTGCCAGTGCTGTTGCTCTGTCGCTGCCAGGTGCCCTCTCCACTGGCTGCCAGCCCACAGTCCTCGGCCTCGAAGGAGCAGGAGAGCTCGGCCCCACAGGGTCCCGCTGTCTGTGCGATATCATCCAGCCCCACGTCCCCCAGGAAACCATCACGCAGCACCTCGAAAGCCACCTGCCCCCAGGCAGCGGTGTCAGACACGCTGTGCCTTGCTGGTCCCAGGGACATGGGGGGGCCTGGTCCTCACCTGGTACCGCTGCTGGCCCGTGGCAGGCAGTGTTGCCCATGCCCGGTGCCAGATGCTGCCCTGGGTTCCTCGGCGGGTCCACAGCACCACCTCCTCCCCTCCCTCTGGCCACAGCTTAAGGTTCAGGGTACCTGGGCAGAGGGGGGTGTAGGGGCAGCCATCCCACAGCCCTTGAGGACCCCGCTGTCCTCAGAGTGGAGCTGGCTGGGCAGCCCTGGGAGGATGCCATGGGGCACGCACCAATTTGTGGGCCAGCCAGGCGATACCAGAAGGAGAGACAGCGTGGGGCAGTGGCTGGCTCCTGGCGGGAGGTGAGGAGCTGGGCCCGCTGCCCATGGCTCCATGGCACAGAGGGGTCCACGGACAAGAAGTAGCCTGAATGTTTGGGACAGCCAGGATGGAGGGATCATGATGTGAGTGTTCCACATCACCCACAGCCCAGATCTGGGGTGCTCCCAGCTGCCCTAGGTGAGCTTACTCCGTAGGTGTGGGGCTGCTGGAAGTGCACAGGGCATGTCATGGCCATGGGGATTGAAGGCCATGGGATGCCCTGGGCTCCTGGGTTCCCCCAAAGAGCAACCAGCCCCTTACCTGAGCCAGTGGTGTGGTCAGAGCCCTGTCCCTGCCCCATGCTGTGGACCCATTTGAAGTCACTGGACAGATCCTGGTACCAGCCACACATGCCCCTCTCAAAGTTGCAGGACAGCTCTGGCCAGAGAGAGGTGACAGTGTGGAGGTGGAAAGGGGTAAGGCATCACAAAAGCAAATGGGTCCCCCAAACACCCCTTTTCCCCTGCTTCCCTGCCCCACTCCCCAGTTTTACCCTACACAGGGGTCCAAAGCCAAGGCAGGATATGTGCTTGGCCCTGGCTCTTGGCCTTCTGCACCGTGGTCCTGTTCTTGGACAGAGTGACAGCCACCAGGCAGCCCCCATGGAAAGGGTCTGGGGTTACCCTCCTGCCCACACACCCCTGGCCGTACCTGCAGCTGTGGGTGACACCACATCGAGGTAGCACTGCTCGAATGTCACGTTGTCAACACTGACACTCGCTGAGCTCTGGAGATCCACCAGTGCCAGCAGCTCGACCTGGGGGCAGCAGCCATGAGCCCAGGGTGCCTGGCAGCACTGGCACTTGCCACTGAAAGCCCCCCAGGCTGGTCCCTGTGCATCCAGAACACCTGGAAGGGCCGGCTTCTCTCTCCCAGTGGGACACGGACATGACCCCCAGTTGTGCTGCCACGACCTTGTGCCTGCCAGGCCAGCTGGGTGGTGCCAGTGGTGTGATCTGTGACACTGATGGCGAGGAAGCCTGGAACAAGAGGTGGTGCAGAGGCTGTGGGTACCCAAAACCCCTGGCCACCCTGTGGGAGCCCTCCATGGCACCAGCCCGTGGTCACAGGGTGCAGGGACACAGACAGCGACACGGACACCCCAGCTCCAGGATGATGTGATGGGGCAAAGCAGGGTTGGCAGAGGCAGCAAAGGCAGGTGGGTATGGGAGGTCTGGGGGCAGGAAGCAGGCAGGGCACTCTGGGGGTGGGCAGAAGTTACCTTGGGGGTCACTGTGGATGTGGTAGCTCATCTCCACGGTGCAGGCAGGGCCAGAGGGGCCCAGCGGAGGCGATCGTGCCTTCGCAGGACCCATCATCTGTCCTTCTCCTGTCTGGAGGGCCAGGAAAGTCCCTGGGCACAGAAACACTCTGTGAGGTGAGGTCTGGGGTCTCACATCACTGGTAGCACCCCCAGCCTAGCATCCTGCCTGCCCATCATCCCCATTGTGCTGTGGCACCCACTGGGGGGCCCTGCTCTGGGGGCTCCCGTGGTGCTGAGCACTGAAGAGCATTGTCTGGGTGGTGAGAACAGCCTCACCTGTGAGGAAGATGTCAGATTCAGGGACCTTCTGCAGACCCCAGCGCAGCCGCCCCACGCTGATGTCATGCCAGCCTCCAGTCCCTGACTCGAAAGTTGTTGTCCCTGAAAAGTCAAAGAATTCCAGAATCCCAGACTGGTTTGGGTTGGAAGGACCTTGAAGTTCATCTCATTCCATTCCTCTGCCATGGGCAGGGACACCTTCCACTATCCCAGGGTACTCCAAACCCTGTCCTGTCAGCCTTGGACACTTCCAGGGATCCAGGGGCAGCCACAGCTGCTCTGGGCAACCCAAAACTCCAAGCTCAGTCTTCCCAGGCCACTGTTCTCCCAGGACACTCATGTGCCAAGGGTGACTGGTCCCCTGCACTGCCGGGGCACTGGTGTGGGTGCCTGCCTTGGCTCTCACCACAGTGCTTCTCGTCGGAGCCATCAGCGCACGTGGCAGCGAAGTCGCAGGCCAGCTCTGCGGCAATGCAGTCCCCATTGTCACAGGCCACCTCATCTGCTGCGCAGGGGCTGGCATCTGCCTGGCGTGGCAGCATGACCAGAGGCTTCTCTGATGGTGAAGCACCCCAGGATGGAGAGCAGTGGTGAAAGGGCCCAGCAACAGCATCAATGTCAGCCCTTCAAACCGTTGTCCCTTGTCCCCAAGCATCTCCCTGGCTCTCCATTTCCCCCATCCCATCCCATCCCATCCCATCCCAGCCCATCCCATCCCATCCCAGCCCATCCCATCCCATCCCATCCCATCCCATCCCAGCCCATCCCATCCCATCCCATCCCATCCCATCCCATCCCATCCCATCCCT